CAGGAATGGCTCCAGGAATGAGAAATTTTGGTGATATGGATAGATTAAAGAAGTTGAGACTGTTCTTAGAGAGAAGAAGGCTGAGAGGAGATCTGATCAAGGTTTTCAAAATTACCTACGAGCTGCGCAGACTAAATACAGAGAAGCTGTTCCCATTTGTGAACAAAAAAAGAGCAAGACTTAAAATGATGTGCAAAAGAAGTAAGAGTGTTGTGTGAAATAGTTAGTAGTTAGGATCTGGAGTGCACTGCCTAGAAATGTGATGATGGCAGGTTCAATTGAGGCATTCACAAGGGTAGTGGATGGTTATTTGGATAGAAATAGTGTGCAAGGAGATGGGGCAAAGGAAGGAGATTGGCACTAGGTAATAAAACCGGTGTAGGCACCATGGACCAAATGGCCTCGTTCTGCACTGTACAATTCTATAGTTCTGTCATTTTTATTGCAGGAACAAACCAAGCAATCTTGAACCTTTGTAGTACTGCCTCTTGGGCAAGTGTATCCTTCCTTGGCTGTGAAGGTTAAAAATTCGCAGAGTATTCCAGATGTGTTGCAGCAAAGCTCTGCGCAGTTATAGCAAGGTGTCTTCATTCTTGTACAGTACTCCAGTTGCCTTGCAATAAAAGCAAACTGCCTATTGCCTTCCTAATTGCATGGTAACCTATTGTGTTGCTTGTATGAGGGCACCCAAGTCCCTATCAACATCAGCATTTAAAAGTTTCAGCCTTTTAAAAATTATTCTGCTTATAATGGTTATAAATTGCCAAGTACTTTAAAGATTAATATTACTTTTTTCCCCGGCTTTCTTCTGGGACAATGACACAGGGATTTCTTCTTTCATTTCTGCAAGTCATTAAGTAATTTATATGCTTTCACAAAGCATTGTGTGGTGACTTGACTGCTGTAGTGCTTTTGTTGTTCCAAACTGACTTTAAAATTGTCAATTTTCATGCCTGATATTGTTGTGCTTTGCTGCAAATTGTCTGATCAATGAAGGAATGTCATTCTTAAACTTCTGATTTGGGCTTGCTTATTCTGAGAAAAAAAGCATAAAAATGAGGCTATTCAGCCCATTGAGTCTGTGCTGGTTCTTTGAAAGCTAATTGCCTATAGTTTCTTTCCGTTTAGCTCAAAAATATTTTCCCTTTCTTAATTTATGCATTCAGTTTTCCTTTAGAATGTTACTGCCAAATTTGCTTCCATCACCCTAGTAGGTTGGTATTCCAGATTGTAACTCGCTTAGTTTTTTTTCCACTGGTTCTTTAGCAATGAGTTTTTATTTGTTATCTTTATTAACAACACCCACTGGTACAAATGGGTACTCCTTCACAAAACCCTTCACGATTTTGAGCACGTGTATTAATTTGCACATTCCCTAGGTTTTTCTAACCTCTGCATGATATATTCCTCAGATTATTCTAATATATTTTGTCCTCGTGGTGATGGTGCTAGCTGTTGGTGAAATTATGCTGATGCTGATGCTGATGCTGATGTTGATGCTTCACCAGCTTGTTTCATCCTGGTCCTTGTTTCTTTGTTAGTTAGTCTGCACTACTCATTCTCTGTGGGAGAATGATAAGTATCCTAAAACTTTGATGGGGGACCAAATATAGATCGGGGCTGTAACATCTCAATTTATCAAGTGCATCTTGTACTGAGAGGTTGAGATTGAAAGAATCATTGAAGGTAAAAGGTTTTAATTGATGTACAAGGAAGTTTGGAGGTAACCTTCATTAGTTTCTGTCTTCCAATTGTAGGCCTTTGCAACGTGAATTTGTATAACATCCAGATTTTTATGACTTTAAAATTAGTCTTTAATGCCTTTTATTTCTAATTTATCGTTTCTTGCAGGAGACTGTAGCGTCAAGCACTCTTGTATGTTCTGAAAGCAGCACAACAGATGTCTTACAGTTTGAAGCACAGCAGGAAGTAACCAATACAAGTATATCTGGTGCTGTGATGACCCAAACAGACTGCACTCTTTCTACTGATAAGACTGTTAATGATGGAAAACTAATAAAAGGTAAGTATAGGCTGTCATATCTTGCATTAAGATAATTTATTGGAGATTTTTTTAATGTGGCTGCTAGAAATTTTTTAAGTCTAACCAAGGAGATGTATGTAAGCAACGGATCTGTAAGCATGTGAAAAGAGAAAAGACCACAGTTGTTAGTGCTGATATGTTTCCATCCAAACCTAATCCTGATCATTTACTGTATTACTCTACTTCAGTTCAATTTTAACTAACTCCACTTGGAAAATATTCAATGCTCAGGACTATTTAGTACATTTAGTGCACACTTTGGAAAATGGGCTTCAGGCAATCAAATTATTTTGAGCTTTGTTCAGTGTTTACAGGGTACTTTATCCTCATTATTCCTCAGAAAAATGGTGTTGGCTACGTTCAGCATTGAATACTGTTTACTTAGTGACCTTGCGTGCTGCTTGTACTGAATGTCCTGGGCAAAGGAAAGGAAAATTCTTACACAGAATTGTGAAAGAAGCTAGTGTGCACAATGATCAGAAATATGTTCAATTTTGAAACTATTATAAATTCACCATTATTGAGATAAGTTATAAGTTTTGTGACCCTGGAAAATTTTCCTTACTTTCCAAATACTTTTCTCGTAGCATCTTTTGCACCAATCTGTTTTGCAATAAAAGCAAAAGAAAATGACATGCTCCCTCTTGAGAAAAAGCGTGTAAAACTCGATGATGATAGTGATGAGGACCATGATGTACAGGAAGCCTCCAACATCGATTCAACTAAAGATATAGTTCCTTCCCTTCCTCCAGAGGAGAAAAAACCCCAGCTTACTGCAGAAGAAATAGAGGCTAAGCAAGGTATGTTAACAAGCATGATGTTTGTAGAAAGCATGTTTTTCTAGTGACTGTTCAAATTCTACGATTGAAATTAAATTTAGGATTTGTTCAAATAGGAAATTGCTCATTTGCTTGAAGTGAAATGTTTATTGTCATAACAAAAAGCTGTAACTGTCTTCTGTGTTTTAGTTTCCACATTCTAAATGCATTCGGTTGTGCATGTTTTGATTTAAAAGGTACCAAATGTATGCAATGAAACTGTCAAAATCAAATGCGCACAGTGAGTTTGCTTAGTTACTTTGTATATATCACAACGTACCTTTGCATCCAGCAAAGACCTGGTAAAGCTAAGAATATACCTTTCCAAATCAGACAAACAAGTCCAATCATGGGAGTGCCAAACAAGAACAAATTAGACAACTTTACTTGAGCTTTTGCTTTAGATCATAAGATTTAGCGACAGAATTAGGCTAGTTGGGTTATTGAGCCTGCTCTGCAAGTTGATCATGGCTGATATGTTTCTCAACCTTATCGCCCTGCCACCACCCCGTAACCCTTGATCCCCTTTCCATTCAAGAGCCTATCCATCTCTGGCTAAAATACACTCTGACTCTGCCTCCACAGCCCTTTGTAGCACTGATTTCCACAGAATCACCACCCTCTGGCTGATGAAATTCCTCCTCATCTTAGCTCAAAAGGGTCATCCCTTCACTTTGAGGCTGTGTCCTGAGGTTCTAGTCTCTCCTACGAGTGGAAATACCAATCGACATCCACTCTAGCCAGGCCTCTCCATATTCTGTAAGTTTCATTCAGATACTCCCCGCCCAATCCTTCTAAACTCCATAGAGTACAGACCTAGAGTCCTCAACTGCTCCTCATATGCTCAGCCCTTCATGCCCAGGATCATTCTTGTAAAACCTCCTCTTGACCCCTTCCAAGGCCAACACATCCTTCCTTAGATACGGGGCCCAAAACTGCTCTGTGTTCTAAATGCAATCTGACCAGATTCTCATACAGCCTCAGCAGTATGTATCTGCTGTTGTATTCTAGCCTGTTGAAATGAATGCTAACATTGCATTTGCCTTCCTAACTGCCAACTGAACCCTGTACGTTAACCTTAAGAGAACCCTGCCTTAGGGCTCTTAAAGCCCTTCACAAAGATTTCTGAAGTTTTCCTGTTTAGAGAATAGTCTATGCCTCGTCTTCCTACCAAAGTGCAGCCTTGCACTTTCCCACATTGTACCCCGTCTGCCACTTGTTTGCTTACTCTCCTAGTTGGTCCAAGTCTTTCTGCAGCCTGTCCAGTTTTAGGCTGGATTTACAAGTTTCAGGGGTTGCTTTTGTAGTCTATCTGTTGTTTGGAAACTTATGCTGAGTAAGTGCTTACGTTCTTAATAGTGATCGGAAAATATTGTTTAATTTTCTTTTTATCTGCCCTAACTTGTCATTCATGCGTGGAACTCAAAGCAGAGAGTTAATGCGTAACTTTTGGAAAAGAACTTGTGGAGAGAAAGAGAGTCTACAACTTCCCTGAGTGTATAATCTTGCTACAAACTTGAATTATGGAAATTTTATTAATTATTTTTGCTGGGTGCCTCTGGCAAGGCCAGCATTTGTGGTTTACTCCTAATAGCCCTTAAGAAGTTAGTGGTGATCCTCCATGGATTGTTGCAGTTCAGCTGATAAAATTATATGCACAGCACTGTTAAGACAGAAGTTTCAGGATTTTGATCAGGCAACAAGTGAAAGAAGAGTGATATCATCCTGTGTTGTAGCTTTACCAAGTTGAGTACCTCTGGTACCCTGACTTAATGATGGTTGCATGTGGTACATACTGAACCTTGGATGAGGTTAAAGATTGCTATGGAATTTTGCTGGTTCTTGTGGCCCTCAAAGCTTCCCAAACGTACATTTGAGTTGCTTGTAGTCATCATATGCTGAGAGACATACCAAGCTAAATGTCTTGGCTACAGATTTTGTTCAAATAAGTTGTTGAGTGCTGTTGAGGACGACTGTCTTTCTGGGGGATTATATGATTTGAAAACAGCTGAACTATATGAAAATTAGAAAATGTAGAGTATACTTTTCTGATTCTGTTTTGATGAATTATGTGCATAGAATTTTTTTGGTAGACAAAGACATGAGCAAAAAAAAGTTTCCAAACCCCACAAAAATTGCAGCAACTCCTCAATGATGAATATGGCTCATTTGACATGACTTGTAGTTTGTAAACTTACTTAGATGCTGTTTTAAGGTCTGGTATCCAGTTTTATTTTTATATTCCCTGTAAAAGATTTTATGTCCTGAGTATTATGGAGCCATCTTAGTAGACATAGCACACTGTAATGACATGCTCTTTTCTAGCAAACACGCTGCAATACCTCTCCTGGCAGGAGGGTGTGTTAACAGTATGGAATGCTCACATAAGTAATTTCTGGTATAAATGTGGGGATTGGAATTCATAATGGAAAGTTGATGGGTAATATGTGCAGACATTTGTTTTATAGATGTGTTAAGAGTTTAAACAGATATTCTGTATCTACATTTAAAGGCAGTTCTCAGTACACGATTTCATGTATCTCTAAAGAGCAAACTGAGAGTACATATTATAATTCTACCACATGTTGAGATTTGGTTGTACTCATCGTTGCTATACTATTCATCCTAGTTTTAAATGTAATTTGTTGTAATGGAACTGCATTTATTTCCCAGTTGCACTGTTCATCATCAGCTGATTTTAATTGAATAGTAGAGATACCCCTTCACAAAGGACAATGGTTTATGACTTTCACAAGAAATGAATAAAATGATGAAATATGATCCCCAAAGCACTGCAGCCCTCTGTGTTGAAAATGAATTTGGCTTTTTCATTCGCTACAACCACGGGGCCTGGTCTATACTGATAGAATAGAAGCATGCAATTCTAAAAATTCTGTTTAAAAATTTCAGGAATTTCATGTGATGAAAGCATTGGCAAGGTTTGTAAATTATCAGGCTAGTTAGTAGCTAATTAAACTGACCTAATTTAGCTAAGCTTCACTGAGCACTGCTCTGTAATTTAGATGACCATTTGCTCAAGCAAACAGTGATTGGCATTTATATAATACCCTAAAAGCAATATCTCAGAAATTAAGTGCTGACAAAGCTCAGACTTGTGTTATCTTAGTCTGCAGAATGTGGTATTTAAATATTTGCCAATGGAAGCTGTGGAGAACTATTTGACTATCTACTAACTTCGTTGCATTATACAAAGCTGGCACTGACTCTAGCTGAATTGTCTTTCCATGTCTCAATGACTCCATAATGATTGCAAATGATTTTTTTTTCCAAATTACCAAAAAAAAAGCAGAGAGAGACTGCCTGATATCACATTTAACCTTGTTTTCAAATTCTTTAATGGCTTCACCACTCCACCAGTCCATGTCTCAGTAACTTCCTGTAGCCCTCAACTGTGTGCACTCCATCAGTTCTGGCCTCTTGAACATCTCCAGTTTTAATTATTGTGCTGTTCGCAGCCATGGTTTCATGGTCTGCCTGGGCCCTAATCTCCCTGATTCCTTCGTTAAACCCCTCTGCTTGACACTTTAAGATGCTTCTTTAAATCTGCCACTTTAAACAGGCTATTTGTCACTTGTCCTAATATTTCTTTGTGACTTGGTTTCAAATTTGTTAATGTGCAGTGCTTTAGATTGTGTTTCTCTTTTAAAGTCATGTATAAATGCAAGTTGATTTAAAAGTTACTTTGCAGTTGCATAAGCAGTAATGATAAAGAAGTGTTTGACACCGATACTGATATCATGGCATATTGATTAATGTCAGCGGGACTGCTGATGAAAAAATGGAGAAATTGCTTGCGGTTTACACTCTGACCATCCAATGATTTACTGGATGCCCCCACGTGTAGATATTTATAAGGAACTAATTGGCATGTCTTGTAATGCTCCCTGAGTTTGTTATTGTTTTGACTATTGGAGGGTACACAGTCTGTATTCAAACCCCAGTTAAGGTTAAGGGCTTCAAAAACAACTGGACAAGAAACTAAGTTTGTTTGCAGTTATTTGATAAATAGAAGAATGTCATTCCTTTTTTCGAAAAAAGCAAACTTGTATTTACATAGTGCCATTCATAACTTCAGGATCTTCCTTTAGCACTTTATACCTTATTCTTCTTGAAGTGTACTTACTGTGGTAATGGAGGAAACACGCTAGTCATTTTATGCACAACAAACTCCTACAAGCATCCAAGTAATGACCAAATAATCTGTTTTTGGGATGTTGATTGAGGAGTAAATATTCTCCAGGTTGGTTACAAAGATTACTTCTGCTCCACTTCAAAATAGTGCCAATGGATCTTTCACATGCACCGTGGAAACCAGACATCTTAATGATGACATTTTGAGTATTGCAGCATTCACTCAGTAGTGCCGTTGTGAGTGTTTGCCTACATTTAGTGTTCAAACTTTTGAGTGGGGCTTGAGTCCATAACTTTGTGACTGAACATGCAACCCACTGAGCCTAATAACTCTATACAGGTGAATAGGTTATGTGCAATAGTATAAAGAAATTAAATTAATGTATTATGTTCCAGATGAAGTATAAAAAATGAATTAAACTTCTGAAACTGGAATTTGGTTGTGCTTTGCGTGGGAGGCCTAATTGACGACAACTCTCCTCTCTATACTATTTGCAGTGTGAATTAACTCCCACCATTGCTGTTGATTCGTAAGTAAAATATCTGGGCGGATGTTGTAAAGAATTATTTTTGCAATAATTCTATGTATGAAGGCTGCTGTGCAAACTAAAACGATTTTGTGCCTCAGACGTTTTACAGAGATAGAGCAGGAACACGAATGACATATGCAGGTAGAGCCACTGCATAACTGGAATCGGGTGAAGATAAGTTCTTTTTCTAGTCAAGGTGGTGAGGCCTGTCTGCTTTGGTTACTTTGTTTTGCCCCCAAATTAAATGATCAGACATGGTAAATTGAGTGAAAGCAAAGTACTCAGATGCTGCAGATCTGA